TACCATCTAACCCCAGCAAGAATGGCCCACATCACAAAATCTCACAACTGCAGATGCTGGTGTGTATGTGGAGAGAAAGGAATACTTCTACACTGTTGGTGGGACTGCAAACTGATACAACCTTTTGGGATGGAAGTATGGAGAACCCTCAAAGAACTCAAGCTAGACCTCCCATTTGATCCTGCAATCCCATTACTGGGCATCTACCCAGAAGGAAAAAAATCCTTTTATCATAAGGACGCTTACACAAGACTGTTTATTGCAGCTCAATTTACAATTGCCAAAATGTGGAAACAGCCTAAATGCCCACCAACTCAGGAATGGATTAACAAGCTATGGTATATGTATATCATGGAATACTATTCAGCCATTTAAAAAAAATGGAGACTTTACATCCTTTGTATTAATCTGGATGAAAGTGGAATACATTATTCTTAGTAAAGCATCACAAAAATGGAGACGCATAACTCCTATGTATGCAGTTTTGATATGAGGACAATTAATGACAATCAATGACATGGTGGGAGTGGGGGAAGGGGAGAGCAGAGAGAGAGGGAAGGAGGGAGGGGTAGGGGAATAGAAAAGCATAGAGGAAAGGAGGGAGGGGGTTGGGATCTTGGTGTGTGACACACCTTTTGGGGGCAAGACACAATAGTAAGAGGGACTTTAACTAACAAATATCAGTGTAACCTGGTTTCTTGTACCCTCAGATTAAAAAAAAAAAAAAGAAATGCTTATTCCTGATTCTACCCCAGACGTACTGAATCACAAACTTTCCAACATTTTAATAGACACTCCAGATCACTGAGCACACTAAATTTGAGAGACACTGTTAGGGAGAGACAATTGAGCTTTAAATGCATTACCTGCTGCTTTGTGTTAAACACATTAATGCGAGAGCCCAAATTTGGGAAACCCAAAGATAATTTGAATTCTTCATAATTTTGTTTAAAACAAATAGAACAATCTAGATTTCGGCAAGATAAAAAGGCCACAAAGAGATCCAGTCATAAAAATGTCACAGACCAGTTCTGGGCCTAATTGGGCATTCAGAGATATTGGGAGAAAGATGAAGTAGCTTCTCCAAACCTGTTTATCAAATATTCATGTAGTGACAGCCATGGGGCCTTTCCCCCAACTCTGGGGCTACGTAGTACTGCAAACCTACCCCTGGTGTTAAAATATCTGCAATGATATCATATTAATAGTAAACCATGAACATAAATAAAAATAAGACAATTTTATGTATTTGCATCGTAATTTAAAATGTAATTACATTAAGTCTTTTGTTAAATTATTTTTGATGTTTTAAAGACAACAGATCAAATACTCTTCAAGACGTGATGGATTTCTGTTAAGAAGAGAAAGCAAGTCACTTTAGCCACCTAATAATTTCCTTTTCAGTTAGAATTATGCCAAATGTTTACTCTCTTCTACAACTCAGACATCTGAAAATACAACAGCTGTGCCTAATTTTTTTATTTACCAACTGTGCTCAGAAACTTGACAATAATACTCACCTTGTTTATCTGGGTCCATTTCACAAATTTTCTAGAATGACAGATGGCAAGAGGATCCTCGTAACTAGAAACGAAGCTGGGGGTGGTGGTGCATGCCTGTAATCCTGGCTACTCAGGAGGCTGAGGTGGAAGGATTGCGTGAGCCCAGGACTTGAGTTCAGCTTGGGCAATGTAGCGAGACCTCATTTCAAAAAACAACAAAAAAAAGAAAGAAAGAAAGAAAGAAAGAAAAAGAAACAATAATCTCTTAGGAGAGGGAAATGAGGAACACAGGGGTAGAGACATCTGATACCAGCCATACTTCTCAGGATAGCTACTGAAACTAAGGCTGTGGGTACTAAGAACCTTCAAGGCATAATAATTTTAAGAGTGAATTGCATTCTCCCTTCTGGAAAATGTAAACTTTATTTGAATTTTACCAGCAAAATTTAAAGCTCTCAATATTTAAATTTCCAATACCACTCTGCTTAATAACTCTACATAGTAAATGTCTAACAAGTACTATTGATTTATTACATATATGCATACACCTATATGGGTATACATAGAATTCAGTTAACATTTTTGAAAGCGTAATCAGTTACCTTGGCAATTGCTCCCTGATGCATTTATTGTTTAAACTACACATACACACACGTGCAGGAAGGGTCTTCAAGAAGTCTGTGGAAAATGCACGTTATGAAAAGACTATGCATGGATTTCAAAATTTTCTTTGCAACAAAATAAACTCATACTCACTCGCTATAGTGTGTCTGAACAGACTGTAGTTAGAGGCACCAAGAAGGATAAAATATCAATCTGAAAAGAGCCCCAATCACAGCAACATGAACGCTGCTAAAATTGAAACAAGAACAAACATCACATTTATGGTGATGCTTGGGTGGAAAAATGGTGGAAGTCTGACGCTTTTGAAATTTTATGGGGACAAAAGGAACCAGCAGTTTACAAATGGACAATGAGTTTTAAGAAGAGATGAGACGATGTTGAAGATGAAGCTTGTAACAGCAGATCAACCACAGGAATTTGCAAGGGAAGAATTTATGTTGTCTGTGTCCTAACTGAAGAGTAGGAACGATAACCAACACCACGGATTTCTCAATCGGCCCACCTTACACAATTCTGACTGAAGAATTGAATTTAAGCAAGCTTTCCACTGGACGCTGCCCAAATCGTTGTTGCCCCTAGATCAGCTGCAGACAAGAACACAGCTTTCAATGGAAATTTTAAACAAATGGTATTAGCATTGAAAGATTTCTTCAAAGAACTGTAATGGGAAAAGAAAAGTGGCTTTACCAGTACAATCCTGAAGACAACGGCTACCGGCAGGCAAAGTGGTCCAGTCAAAGCAAAAGTGGGCCAGTCAGGAGTGAAGGTTGTGGCAATAGTTTTTCGAGATGTTCAAGACATTTTGCTGGTTGACTTTCTGGTGAGCCAAAGAACGATAATGTGTGCCTATCATGAGAATGTTTTAAGAAAGTCAAAACTTTAGCAAAAAAGCATGCAGGGAAGCTTGACCAGAGAGTCCTTCTTCACTATGACAATGCTCCTGCTCCTTCCTCTCATCAAGTGAGGGCAATTTGTGAGAGTTTTGATGGGAAATTGTTAGGTTTCCAACTTACAGACCTGACTTGGCTTTTTCTGTGTTTTTTTTTTTTTTTTTTTGCTTCCTAACCTTAAAAAATCTTCTTAGAGCACCCATTTTTCCTCAGCAAATAGTGCAAAAACGACTGCATTGACACGGTTAAATTTCCAGGACCCTCAGTTCTTTAGAGATGGACTAAATGGCTGGTCTCTTTGTTACAAAAGTGTCTTGAACTTGATGGAGCTTCTACTGAAAAATAAAGTTTATACTTTTTATCTTTTAATTCCATCTCCCATCAACTCTTTGAAGTCCCCTTGTGTGTTCATATTTGTGTATATACATATATAAAGTTATATTATATATATTCACTTTCAACAAATGGAATGGATAATGCCATAAGAAAGCCTTGTGCAGTTTTAAGAAAAAAACATATTTGTTAACATGGGCGGCTAAAAATCGTTTTGCAAAGTCACATGATAATTAAATTTAAATAGTACTTTACTCACCTTCTAATGAATGAATTAATAAGAGCACAAATTATTTGGTCAGACAAATAACATTTTACAAATAGTGAAACTCAAGCAAAACCTGATTACATTAGTTCTTTAAAAATGTAATAGCAACAGTGGCAATTTAAGACTTTCCAAACCTGAGAAGTTTCCAAATATATGCATGTAAAATTTGCTTAGAAAAGCTGTAGCGTGGGAAATCAGGTCAGAACTTTTCTTGGTGTAGAAACACTCCCCCAAGCACTCCCTGAACCCCACACCCTCACCCCGGGGATCGGGAAAGATGGCTAAAAGGGTCTGGCCTCCCAACCAGTCAAGAGCAGTACAGCTTGAGATGCCTCTGTCTTCATCCATGCCAGGTTCTTACCTTTGTTAGTTTCTCTGGAGAAGCAATTTAGTCAAATATTCTGTATAAAAATGACTCAGCAATTCTGGAAGAAGGAAAAGCTGAGTATAAACAGATTTCCAGATATAACATTCCTATATAGAGTTGATTTCTTGTTCTGACTGCCCAGATGGTGCATGCAAAACAGTACATTTGAGGCTGCACTGTTTCCAACAGCCCACAACAGTGCATTCATTAATAATAAAGATCTTGAATTATTTAAGGCCACTTCTACATCTCTGTTTCAAAGGGCTATTTTCCTATTGGTTTTCTGTGGAGGAGAGGAGAGTTAAACATCTTCTAGGTGCTACTGAGAGCAGGGCTCACCATCAGTGTTAGGAGGCAATACTGATGTAACCCAGGTAACCGCTACCCTACCACCCCACCACCCACCTCAGAAAACAGTGACCTAGAAATAGAGAAATAGAACGGAATTCATTTCATTAATTCTTTTATAAACACGGAGGTGCTGTTATACATTTTTAAAAGGTGCTAAATATAATGCAAGTCTTCAAATGGACAGTAATAATTTGTTATGAATGCATATTCCCTTTTAAAATTTAAGTATCATCTAAAAATGTCTTATTTCTAAAGAAGTCTAGATTAAAAACGAATCCGTTCCAATCCTAATAGGGTTTTAAAAAGGCAATGTCACATTAGCGAAATGTACTAGAACTTCACCATTAATGTCTTCAGGCTACTGAGGAGTTCGGGGGTCGATTTTAACGTGGCTTTCAATAGATGTTTGAACCCCAAGTGATAGTAGGCACTGTTATCTGGAACAGCTGTTTCATGCAGGGCGCTGCTGTTCAGACCCTAACAAGGCCATCCGTGCTGGCATCTGGGAATGGTTTATTACTTCCAAGGCCCACTGTCATAGATAAGTTGGGGAACTGGACTCCATGGTTCCAGTCAAGGACCTAGGGCATCAGGGAACAGTGAATTGGCTAAAAAATTAGTCAAATTAGAAATGCTTTGAAGATATAGCCACCTTGACAGCAAGAAATAGTTTGACTTTGTAACCTACAAGGAGGAGATCGGTTTAATGTATACTATGCTGATTAATGGCACTGCTGATGTAAGCAATTGCTCTGTGAAGGTATAAAAGTAACAGGGAGAAACAGGAGGACAGAGCAGTTCTTTGGGGAGCTATCCCTCTGCTCTCCAGAATCGCTGGCTTTTCTGAAAGTAAAAGTGAAACTGTTGATCTCTCATGTACGTCTCCATTAATTGACTTGGGTGACAGATGGATGGACTACAGGTGGATGGGCTCCAGATGGATGGTCTGGCAACAAAAAAAGAGAGGTGTGTACCATGAACAGTACCTCCAGAGCCAGAGAAGCTGAGAGTCCAGGTCCCATCTGATACACTTTACACAACTGTGATATAAGGGGACAGATATTCTCTAGAATGTCCCATAATAAAAATCAATTTTGAAAAGCGATTATGATGTCCAAGTATAGTCAATTTATTCTTTTCCTTTTAAAATGCATTAGTATCATACTGTTGGTTTCTTAAAAACTGAAACTTGAGACATTAAAAAAAATAACCATTGATAAGTAATGGAGCAAGAATGGGATGGAGTGGAAGAGGAAAATAATCTATCATGTGTCTTTTTTATATAAATAATTTTCCTTTTTGGGCAGTGCCTGTAGCTCTGTGGGTAGGGCGCCGACCACATATACCAATGTGGGTGGGTTCAAACCTGGCTTGGGTCTGCTAAACAACAATGACAACTGCAAGAACAACAAAACAATAGCCGGGCATTTTGGCAGACATCTGTAGTCCCAGCTACTTGAGAGGCTGAGGCAAGAGAATTGCTTATGCCCAAGAGTTAGAAGTTGCTGTGAGCTATGACAGCACTGCACTCTACAGAGGGTGGCAAAGTGAGACTCTGTTTCAAAAAAAAATTTCCTTTTCTGGGAACAGATAAGACAAAAATCTAAGGAGAGAGCAAATCTTTCTTGCATGAAATCTATGCTTGTTTGCTGCAGACTCAAAGTTGAAATCATATTTAGAAATTTCGCATTACATTATACATAGCATCTGTATCAGAACACATTGTTGTATCTGAGGCACAGCATTTGATGCTGTTTCTGAGTGCCGCCACTCCAGATTTGAGCAGATCTCAGGCATTGACTAATTCTATGGATCAAGAATCTTGGCACTCACCCCCCACCTCCCAAAAAAGTGGTCTGAAGTTCCAGTTAAATAACATAATTAAATAGATAAATAATTATGTCCATAAGAATGAATTTGGACATGTTGGAAAGTAATTTAAGCGAATGGGTAATTGATAGTCCTGAGCTCTTAGCATGACTAGATTTTGGACAGGTTTCAAGAAAAGATGCCAGGACTGTTTTTGTTTCACTCAATTCTGTGACCTGGAACTTCGTAGTTACTGTTGCATCTCGTGATTCAAGCTCAAATAGATCTAGTCACACAAAGACTTTGTCTTTTCTTTTCCTCTGTTCTGGTAAAATGTTTTAGGCAAGAAATCAAAAGCAGTTATTGCAAATTTACAATATCACAAATAACTGCTG